GCAAGGGTGGAGATGGGCCCCCTCACAGAGTGGAGTCCGAATCGCTGGAGTCCAATGAGAGTTTATTATAGTGGTTGAGTTTGTCCTTCCGGAGTTGAGTGTGGTTGGAGCTTCTCCTGAGGCTCTCCAGGGACTGCAGAAAAGACTTCCTGGCTTTCTCCTCCTCGGTGGGAGAGATCCCTTCCTCCTCCACCTCCCGGATCTCCTCGAAGGAGAGGAGCTGGGAGCGGAGCCGGCTCTCTCGGCGCCTCCGCAGGGCCCCCTTGGTGGGAGAGGGCAGAGGAAATTCCTCCTCTAGGAAGGCGCTTTGTTGCATGGCCTCCTGGTAGGTGCACAGATGGTCCTCAGCCTGAACGATGGACATCCTGGAGGAGAGAGAGTGAGGATGCTGTGCAATGAGGACCAGAGGGTGCTGTGCAATGAGGACCAGAGGATGCTGTGCGATGAGGACCAGAGGGTGATGTTCAATGAGCACCAGAGGAAGATGTGCAATGAGCACCAGAGGATGCTGTGCGATGAGGACCAGAGGGTGATGTGCAATGAGCACCAGAGGAAGATGTGCAATGAGCACCAGAGGATGCTGTTCAGTGAGGACCAGAGAGAAGGATGCTGTGCAATGCAGACCAGAGGAGATTGCGCAATAAAGGATGCTGTGCGATGCTCTAGTTTTTGTGAGCCGGCGAGTCTTTGCAAAGGTGCAATCCCACCAATTAAGAGCAGAGGGTGCTGTGCAGATCGATGCTTGGCAGTACAATGGCAATGAAGACAGTGTGGCGCAGCGATTTTAGGGGTGAAGCTTGCCCTTCAGTTCTTTACTTTGAGCTAAGAGCACAGGATGGTTTGCATGGAAGATAGACTGCTGTGCAATGGTCTACCCAGGAGGTGCTGTGCAATCTGGGTTGAGCAGCAGATGATGCTGTGCAATACTCTCTGTAGAGCTCGGGGAGGTCTGTCCTTGTGCAATGCTGCAGGGTCGGTTGCTCCCTTTCAGTGCTGCGGGAAGCTATGCCCAGGGTGCCTATTAATCCTCAGTGGCTCAGCCTGCAAAGTCTGAATCAGCTTGTATGTCTCTGCTTCTAGTCTTGTGTCCCCCCTCCTGCTCCCTCGGTCCTTTTTATATCCCTTCCTCCTCCTACACACAATCCGCTCCGATGACTCCCAGCTCCATGTAAAGTCTGTCTTCCGGTGACGTGGGCCGGGTGACACAGACGTGGGTGTGAGAGGGGATCCTGGAAGATTGGGGGGCTTCCTGCACAGAGGGTTGGGGGGGGGTAACACAATATGTCTCCCTTTATTAATAAGATATTACCAGAAATCGTTGTCACTCTTCAACTTGACTGACAGGTCTTCCTAAAACTGAGGGTGACAGATGTGACAGCTGGTCAGTGCATGCCCTCGGTCGTGTGATATGTGCACAGCACAAGGATTGCATGGTACCTGCTGTATACTGACTCATTGTAATGACTACCAGACCCTGAGAATGGACCTATGAATGTGCAATGAGGAAGATGTATGCAGACTGTCAGCTTGAGAGTGCAGGAATGACCCCTGAGGACTTCTGTTCTGTATTAAGGAAGAACTCCACCCAAAACTTTACCCATTTGTTTGATATAGAATGCAGAAGCTGCTTGTGTCCCCTCTGGGGAGATTATTCCTCACTTCCTGCCCAGAGTCCCCTCTTACTAGCCATGATCTGCCTGCATTGGATAGAGAAGCACAGAGATCCAGGGATGGAGGAGGGGGGAACCAGAGAAGGCAGAATGTAATCAGATTAAATGTCAGCTTTAAAGTCCAGCATTTATGTGCCCCCCCCCCCCCCCACAGCAATAAAATAAAAACCTGACGGGGATTCTAACTCTTCCCAGTTCAGTCCAAAAATAGAGACAATGTTTTGTGTGGAGTTTAAATAGTCAGTAAACTCTTCCTGGTTGTGTGCACGTTGTCTGCCCGGGAAATGCTCCATCTTAGAAATGAAATCCCTCTCTGTACTTTACAAGAAACCTGCAGGAGAGACACAGACATCATAGCTGAACTCCGGGATCAGCCAATATTGATGAAATCCAAGCACGGTGCTATGCAATGGTCACAGGACACGTGCGAGCTTCCATTGCAGTGAATTATTTCACAATTTCACGTGTTTTTCACTTAGAACTAGTGATGGGCCGAGTACTGCCCTGGGGGACATGTATGGGGATCCGAGGACTGCCCTGGGGGACATGTATGGGGATCCGGGTACTGTCTTGGGGGACATGTATTGGGATCCGGGTATTGCCCTGGGGGACATGTATGGGGACTCGGGTACTGCCCTGGAGGACATGTATGGGGACTCGGGTACTGACCTGGGGGACATGTATGGGGACTCGGGTACTGACCTGGGGGACATGTATGGGGACTCGGGTACTGCCCTGGAGGACATGTATGGGGATCCGAGGACTGCCCTGGAGGATATGTATGGGGATCTAGGTACTGCCCTGGGGAACATGTATGGGGATCCAGGTACTGCCCTGGGGGACATGTATGGGGATCCGGGTACGGCCCTGGGGGACATGTATGGGGACTCGGGTACTGCACTGAGAGACATGTATGGGGACTCAGGTATTGACCTGGGGGACATGTATGGGTAAAAAATGGATCCACCGACGTAATTCAGGGTCAATCACGACGTCCAGTGTTGTCCACGACGACGACAAAATAAAAAATAAAACAATAAAAAATAAATAGAAATATTAATGTTAAAAAACCTTCCGCATAATAGCATTCTGACAGATGTCGGCAACGTATAAACAATTGGGCAGAGCTAGCGGTGACAGCTAGCTCCCCCCAACTGTTTACAGTTGTACAGCATCTGACAGGTGAGCTGTGATTGGGCAAAGTCATCATGACTTTGCCCAATCATGGCTCTTACAGACTATTGGGCCCTGATTGGGTAAAGTCTTGCACCTGACCTGTGGTCAGGTGCAAGGCTTTACCCAATCAGGGCTCACAAGGCACTGTGCGGTGTGCAGTGCCTCGTGGGGGGCGCTTGGCAGGCGAACAGCCCGCCAAATGCCCTGATAGTCCGTGTGTTCGGCGAACACATGAACTGCCGATGTTCGAGTCGTACTCATGCTCGGCTCGTACATCAAGCCGCAATGCAAACCTGTGAATGAGCCCTCAGAGACGTTCGGCGTTTTTCTTCCTTTCATGTTAAAATCCGCGGTATTTGGGTAAGAAGTGTCTCAGGCGGTTTACAGTGATTTGGTGACGGCAGCGAGCCGAGCTCTCTTTTTAATTTCCTGCCTGTGCTAGGTAAATCCTAATCCATTCACGTACTTACCTGCATCCAGGTCATGGAAGTCAATTAGTCTGCTGCTTCCATATTGAGGGGGACGAGAGTGGAAAGAGTAATCAAACCTCTTCTCTTTCTATCTGTGGTCGGTTATGCAAGATCACATTAGGTCAGTGACACTGGCTGACACACCTCCCCCCCCAACACCTGCAGCACCCCCTAATGAGATGTCGCCTTATTATGGGGATGATAAATCACAAACAAACTTGCGCTTCGGGACTAAAAAAAATAGGAAAAACCGGAGTGGCCAGAAGCTGCTATAACTCGGGCGGTGAGCCTCAACGGATTATGAATCATTAGTGTAGCGCTAAAAGCCTCACGGTATTCGGACCCAAATAGTGTATTAGATAAATGTATGTAGTTGTGAAACTTTGTGTCAGTGAAATCTTTATATAACTCAACACATTACTAATTGTATATATCTAAATATTAAACATACTATAAAATCTCTTTGTGAATGAAAACCCCGTGCTTAAGTCAATGTGTGAAAAATACAAATAAAATTGTCTACAATGTTTCATCCAAAGAATACAATTTTATTGCTGTAGCTCGCGCTATACTGAGCTGTACCCGCCCCCTCCCCTGTCCGTTCCGCCAGTCAGCGCTGGCGGATCGGAGCGGGGAGGGGGGAATCCAGCCCCTCCCCTGTCACGGCAGAGAGCCGTGACAGGATCGAGAAGTGAGCGAACACCGGTATGTGTTCCCTCACCTCCCGATCTACTGAGCCGACCTGTGACAGTCTCATTGTCACAGGTCGGCTAGAACTATTAGGTGAGTGAAAAGCAACCCCCCCTCATAGTTCTCCTTTAAATCAATGTGTGAAAAATACAAATAAATTTGTGTTCTTTGGATGAAACATTGTAGACAATTTTATTTGTACTTTTCACACATTGACTTAAGCACGGGGTTTTCATTCACAAAGAGATTTTTTTATAGTATGTTTAATATTTAGATATATACAATTAGTAATGTGTTGAGTTATATAAAGATTTCACTGGCACAAAGTTTCACAACTACATACGTTTATTTAATACACTATTTGGGTCCGAATACCGTGAGGCTTTTAGCGCTACACTAATGATTGGCTAATTGACTAATTATTATGGGGATGCCCCGGCCTGTAATTGTTACTTAATTGCACAAGAGAAAGATCAGGTCTCTGTGTGGCAGAGCTGTGTAAACCTCAGGACTGGATGGAAAGAAATACAAATGCTTTGGGAGGATAAGTGGTCCCCTTATATGTATCCCTTCCGTGTGTTTTGCTGTTTGCCCGGAGTCTGACTCTATAATAAAAAATTTAAAATTGGAGTATGCGAGTCCTCTGTTTATACCGAGCTGCTGGTAAGTCAGCACAGGGGAATATGATGACTAAGCTTTACCACCACTGCTGCACCTCTCAGACCTTTTACTGCAGGATCACTAAATCCTTCCAGACCGGGAAACCCACGCTTGTAAAAATGTATACTGTAAGTGGATATCCAGAACCAGAAATAACCGTCACTGAACCCGTCTGTGATTAACAAGGACAGTAAAAGAGCA